TTAGAGTCACAAGTGTCACTCCTCTAATGGTTCACAAACACCATAAGCAAGAGGATGAAGAGGAGAGAGGTTGGAGGCTACCAAAAACGTGTAGAAACCCTAACAAGAAGCTTAGCCACGTTTTTGAGCCTTAAGGGGTCTTTATATAGTTGGGCTATTAGGGTTATCTAACAAGGAAACCCTAATTTGGATGCTTAAGCCCTAAGCAACCCATAGACTCCTTTAATTAAGCCCATGGACGATTTCCTTATGGGTTTCCCATTAGAATTCGTCCATCCCTTAATATAAGGCAATCTATGGCCCAAATTGCAATTATCTTATAATTACAATTCCAGTCCCTTAAGTTTAATTAATCTCTTTTAGCCACAAAACTAATTACCAATTAATTCTTGACTAATATTAATTAAACAATATGATTTCTCCTTTAATATATTATTCCCATAATATATTAATAAATCATATTTAATCCTTTCTCTCCATAATTTATCCTATCAAGTTGCTTTGGTGAAGGCAACCCAAAAGGACCATGCACCATTGGGTCAAGTACATACCAAAATAGTTATGGACTTAGACACTAATCCAACACAGATGCGGGACCGAAAGGCCAGCAGAGGCGGGGTCGCTGCAGGAAATGCGGCAAGATGCACGAGGGAGCGTGCAAGTTGGGATCGTCAGGCTGCTACAAGTGTGGTAAGTTAGGGCACTTCAACAGGGATTGTACCGCCCCTACACCTGTGATTCAGACATCGGAGTTGCTATGTTTTCACTGCAACCAGAGGGGCCACAAGAAGGCCAATTGCCCCCAGTTGACAGCATCAGTGCCGGTTAAGGCGCCGGATCCAGCTACCATGCGGATTACAGATGGCTGGTAGGGTAAGGTAGAAGGCTCCAGTGGTGAGGAGCCGGGCATTTCAGCTGACGACAGAGGAGGCACGCGCCGCACCCGATGTGGTAACGGGTATGATTCTTTCCCTCTATCTTTATTTTTATGATATTGTGTTATTGATATGTGCCATGTGTTCATGCGTTAGGATCGTTCCATGTGAACGGTATCCCAGTTCATGTGGTGTTTGACTCGGGTGCCACCCGGTCATTTGTTTCCCTTGCGCTTAGCAAGAAATTTACTGAGTCTTCGGGCATGTTGGATTGCCCTTTAGAGGTAGAGATTGCCGATGATCGATCGATACGAGCAACAACAGCGTTCAGGGATTGTGTTCTGAGGTTATTCGAGGAGCGCTATTTGGTGGATTTGGTTCCCATCTCGTTGCGGGGGAACAAGGTGATTATAGGCATGGATTGGTTGAGCCCTAATGGGGCGGTGATAGATTGCGCACAGCAGCTAGTGCAGATCAGGACCCCGAGTGGGGGAGAGTTAGTGATCCACGGCGAGAGGCCGCAGCATGGACCTGTAGTATGTTCGGCAGTGAGGGCTAGGCGCTACCTTCGGCAGGGTTGCGCGGGATATGTCGCGTATGTTCTGGATACCCGGGAGACGGGTAAAGAGATGGTGAGCGAGGTTCCAGTGGTGCGAGACTACACTGATGTGTTCCCGGAGGAGCTTCCTGGAATACCTCCGGAGCGTCAGGTAGAGTTCAGGATCACCCTAGTTTCTAGTGCGACTCCGATAGCCAAGGCACCCTATCGGTTGGCTCCTCCCGAGATGCAGGAGTTGTCTGCGCAGCTGCAGGAGCTGCTAGACAAGGGATTTATCCGTCCGAGCAGTTCACCCTGGGGAGCCCCGATCCTATTTGTGAAGAAGAAGGACGGGTCGCATCAGATGTGTATAGATTACCGGGAGCTGAACAAGGTGACAGTGAAGAACTGTTACCCACTCTCGAGGATTGACGACCTCTTTGATCAGTTGCAGGGAGCATCTTGGTTCTCCAAGATCGATCTGCGCTCAGGATATCATCAGATGAGGGTTAAAGAGAAGGATGTGCAGAAGACCTCGTTTCGGACGCGTTATGGCCATTATGAGTTCGTGGTGATGCCATTTGGGCTCACCAATGCTCCTGCCGCGTTCATGGACCTCATGAACCGCGTGTGTAGACCGATGCTAGATCGGTCTGTGATAGTTTTCATTCATGACATCTTGGTTTACTCCAAGACGCAGGAGGAGCACGAGGAGCATCTGAGAGAGGATTTGGAAACCTTACAGGAAGGAGAGCTTGTACGCCAAGTTCTCCAAATGTGAGTTTTGGTTGCGCGAGGTGCAGTTCCTTGGGCACCTCGTCAACCAGAACGGGATTTCTGTAGACCCAGCCAAGGTGGAGGCCGTGATGAGATGGGAGGTTCCGAAGTCTCCATCCGAGATTCGGAGTTTCCTAGGATTAGCAGGTTACTATCGGAGATTCATTAAGGATTTCTCCAAGATAGCCATACCCCTGACACGGTTGACTAGGAAGGCTGTGGTCTTTCGGTGGGGGCCTGAGCAGCAGGCAGCGTTCGAGATTCTGAGACAGAGATTGTGCGAGGCGCCAATCTTAGCCCTGTCCGAGGGTGTAGAGGATTTTGTGGTATATTGTGATGCGTCCATCTCGAGTTTAGGCGCGGTATTGATGCATAGGGGTCATGTCATTGCTTATGCCTCGAGGCAGCTGAAGCCTCACGAGGCGAGCTACCCGACGCATGTTTTAGAGTTGGGGGCGGTGGTCTTCGCCCTCAAGATTTGGCGGCATTACCTCTACGGGGTTCAATGTACCATTTACACGGACCACAAAAGTTTGAGGTACCTCATGGATCAGCCGAATCTGAACATGAGGCAGCGTCGATGGTTGGACGTGGTGAAGGATTATGATTGAGAGATCCTTTACCACCCGGGGAAGACCAACGTGGTGGCCGATGAGCTTAGCCGTAAGGCGGCACCGATCGGGGATGTGTGTATGAGGATGACGGTGGTGACCCCACTGTTAGAGCAGATTCGGGAAGCTCAACAGGAGGCTATGAAGGAGGAACATCGGAAGAGTGAGCGTATAGTGGGTCAAGTCACCTCCTTCGATTATGATAGCCGAGGGTTATTAACACTACACCGTAGGGTGTGGGTGCTGTATCACAGAGGCGTGCGCCAGATCTTGATGGAGGAGACGCATAAATCCCGATTCTCTATTCATCCAGGGCGACGAAGATGTATCGGGATCTTCATCTAGACTATTGGTGGCCCTGCATGAAGCGGGATGTAGCGTGGTACGTCGAGCGGTGTTTGACTTGCAGGAAGGTCAAGGCCGAGCATTAGAGACCGCACGGAAAAATGCAACCGTTGGATATCCCGTTGTGGAAATGGGAGGATATTACGATGGATTTTATCACGAAGCTTCCCAGGACGGCGCGAGGAGTAGATTCGATTTGGGTCATCGTGGATCGGTTGACCAAGAGCGCCCATTTTATTCCGATTCAGGAGAGTATCTCGGCCGAAAAGTTGGCCGATATCTATATCAGGGAGATAGTGGTGCGGCACGGGGTGCCAGTGTCAGTGATATCAGATCGAGATGTGCGGTTCACTTCCAGGTTTTGGAAGAAGTTTCATGATGAGTTGGGCACTCGTCTACATTTTAGCACTGCCTTTCACCCGCAAACGGATGGTCAGAGCGAGCGGACCATTAAGACCTTGGAGGATATGTTGTGGGCATGCGTGTTAAACTTTTGGTGGTAGTTGGGATACCTATCTTCCCTTGGCAGAGTTCTCGTACAACAACAGCTACCACGCGAGTATTGACCGTCCCCTATTCGAGATGTTGTACGGACGGAGGTGTAGGACCCCGATATGTTGGGATGAAGTTGGCCAAGGGTCATGGGGAGCACCGAGGTGGTGCTCAAGACGACCCGAGAGGATCCAACAGGTTCGAAGCAGACTTCAGACTACGCAGAGTCGGCAGAAAACTTACACTGACAAGCGTCGATCAGACCTGGAGTTCCAGGTCGGGGATATGGTTCTCCTGAAAGTATCGCCTTGGAAAGGTGTCATCCGATTCAAGAAGCAAGGCAAGTTGGGCCCGAGATACATTGGTCCGTTCAGGGTTGTAGCCCGGGTGGGCAAGGTGGCATATAGGTTGGATCTACCAGCCGAGCTCAGTCAGATCCACAACACCTTCCATGTCTCCCAGCTACGGAAGTGCCTCGTGGATGATTCAGCGGTGGTGCCATTGGAGGATATACAGGTTGATGATAGTCTGAATTACAGTGAACGCCCAGTCTCAATCCTCGACCGGAAGTCGAAGGATCTAAGGAACAAGAGGGTGGAGCTAGTGAAAGTGCAATGGCAGCACCGCAAGGGTTCGGAATGGACTTGGGAGCCGGTGGAAGAGATGATGGAGGATTACCACGAGCAGTTTCAGGATCGAGCGACAGACTTCGAGGACGAAGTCTAAAATAAGTGGGGGAGATTTGTAGCACTTGATTCCTGGTACGTAAACTTTATCTAAGTATTTGTCATTTTTAGCCTTGGACTCGGCGAGTTGTAGGTCCGACTCGCCGAGTAGGGACACACTACTAGAAAAACAGCCTTTTACGACGCTCATTGCACATCGTAAAAGGTTTAGACGACGTGAAAATGCGCGTCAAGAAAGGCCCTGTCATAAAGAGAGACGACACACTTTTGCGCGTCGTCTATAGACGACGCGCATTTACGACGCTCATTTACGACGCGCGCTTACGACACACAATGCGTATCAAGGAAAGCCTTGTCATAAAGGAAGACGACACGCATTCGCGTGTCGTAACCTTACGACGCGTGTGTTAATGACACGCAATGCGTATCAAGGAAGCCCCTGTCAAGAAAGGCCATGTCATAAATGAAGATGACACACATTTTTTCGTATCGTAATTTTAAATGTTAAATTTTTTTTTTATAGATTTACTAATTTTCAAATTAAATTTGCATTTAATGTCTCATAAGAAAAAATAAAACACTATATACAAAAAAAATACAATCCATTGCATAAAATTTAATATCATACAAATAATCGATTCATGGAAAGATAAAACAAATCAGTAGAAGTTGTTTTCTCCCTATACATGATTATTACATACTAAATAACAAACTTTATTTCATATTCATACATATGATTACATTATTCATTAAGAAAAACATATACCTACAGCTAGACTTGGAAGATCCATAATTGAATACGATTTCCAATGTAACTTCGATCCAAATAAGAAGTAAATACCTTATATATTGAGGGCATTACACTTCGAGATTCTTCAAACTTTGTGTAGATTGTGTATGCAATGTCCAAAACTGACATGTCATTTGGTCCAGGGAGGTATCTACAAATGTACAAAAGCATTTAATTAACACATATAATAATTGCAGAATAGGATTCAAGATTAACAAGTACATAACATAATATGAAACTACTCATAAAAACAAGAATGCTCAACAGTTTAAGTTTAAAACCACAAATAGACAATAGAAAATGACTCATTTAAACTTGGTAGTTTACCTTGCTGAACTTGTTTGTGGGGAATGAAGGATTCAATTCCTTATGCTATCCCATCCTACCCAAACATTGCATAAACCAAGGGTGTAAAGCTTCTTGTTGTTCTTTATTTGGCTGAAGGGATTTTGGAAGGTTGCTGAAAAAAGGAAGCTGAAACTGGAATGCAAACTGAAACCCAAATGCAAATTCAAAAGTGAAAAATAATAAAACATAAAGTAAAAGATAACATAAACTGACACTCACTCGAATCATATGCATAGCCTCACGTGATCTCAACATGGAGTTTCCTTGAGCAGGTGTTGGTGTACTGGAAGTCAACAAACCAGTGGTGGAATTCATGATGGAGGAAGAGGTGGGTCTTGCCATCTTGATGCCTCTAGTCATCCCACACATAACACCCATACCGCTTCCAGTTGGCAACATGCGTACACCTGTAAAATGTAATTTCGAATATTTTAAGCTCAAGTCCAAAACAAATAAATAAACTTACTTACAAATAAGATTAGTTTGAATTCATCACATAACTAACATCACACTTCTGGCTAACAAAATCCCAAATACAACAAACAGAATCTCAAATCTCAAATTCTGAATAAGAGGTTTTGAATTTAAAATTGGAATAGCATATCTAATTCATATCCCAAAGCTTCAAGATGAGCAGCCATCGCCTTGTTCATTGGTGGTGGTCCACATCGTAAATTCTGTTCACACAACAAACACATAATATGTATTTTAGACTTTTTTACCACTGTTGAATAAATATTTGAAAACAAGTTTGAATGAAAGGAGTAGAATTAGAATAAGATACCTTGATATCAGATGAAGGTGCAGGTAAATGGTCTTGGATCATTTTTTTTCATACAAACCCAACGCCACCTGTCCATCCCTCCGGTGGCTTCACAAATACAAAACCAGGCCCTTTATTTTAATTTATATTTTATAATAAACCCCAAAATTATTAGGTTTAATTCAATGCAACAAACAACAACCTACTATCATTGATTTGTTTATCATAGGCTTTTTGTTACTAAGACTAATACCTACCTGATTCAATACATAGTAAACTTTGAAGCGATTAGGGTAATTAGAAGTAAGTCCCTCCAGTTCTTCCTGTAAGTGTAATTAATCCCTCATCAAATTATTTAAATTATCCTTAATTTAATACTTTGCAAAAAATACAAACTCATTAATCTAAAATTCCAAAAGTAGATGACTCCTTTTAGAGAAGATGGGAACTACTTGTTTTTGTTTTTGTGTGTGTCATGGAAATTAGCATTTTCTTAATGTGTAGTAACAAGTAGAATCGAAAGTTGTTCCTATCTTCTCTCATTTGTGTCGTGAATTTGATTATCAGAGTTGCAACTTCTTGGTGACAAGCTTGTTACACAAAAAGTTACTATCAAAAAAGTATATAAAGTTCGCTTAGTTTCAACTGATCGATCTGATATAATGTACGTTGGTTCACCAGATTCACCATTTGTATTCACAGGGGTAAATTTGGCAACAATGTAACATCCAATAGCTCCTAAGGGTATGCGAAAAGCCTGATATGAAAATAGTTATAATTAATCAACTAAAATCATGTGTTTTTATAAGTGTCCATGTTCATAAGATCATAAGAGTTAAAAGACCACTAACCTTGGCCAATTTGGATGGCTAAAAAATAGTGTTTATCAAAAAAGTAAATATGAAAATAACTAATATAAGGAAATCAACTTCAAGAAGCTTTTCAAAGATACACATTAGCTACCTTGTATCTCCTTCAAGTATGAAATAATCTATTAAATATGAAAGAAAAATCTATATTAGGGATGATAAGTTGGTGGTTATGTGTTTTTCAATTGAGGCTAAAGAGAGGGTGTTACCAACAGAGACAATATTAGTAAAAATTAGAACAATTAAAAATATTACTTGGTCAGAGTAGTATTGGCCCTTCTTTCTCTAAATTTCTTTGACCCAAAAGGGGTTGCACTGAATGTTAAAAACATTACCTGATCAGAGTAGTATTAGCCCCTCCTTTTATACACGAGACTCGCTCTTTTTCTGATATGTCATGCCATCTGTCTGGGATAGTAGAACGAGCTCTTCAAACCTATGACTTCAACATTTTCACATAACCTGAAACCAATAAAGATGGCACTGAAAGGATTCAGAATGTGTATCAGAAATCAATCATTTAATATAGATAAGTTGTTAGAGGCATTTTTACAAACAGGTGGTGTGCACCATAAAAACATGTGGAATTAATCTATCTAACGTAGATGATTATTACTAATTCCCTTGATCTAACAAGCACTCATATCTAAGTATCCGAAATTAAACCTTTAAGCTAGATAAGTTCAATTCTTTGGGAGAGTAACGATAAGATGTAACAGACATTTTTACAAGATGAGCCAAAATGGTAAAATGATAATCCTCTTCTTAGTTACGGCAGGGCAGGGAGCATTGAAGGTAGAGGGGAAACCAACAGTACAGAACGAGGCCAACATATAAGAGCATAACGAGAAGGAAAAACTGGAAACAACGCATAACGAGAAGGAAAATTAAGAGTTGCCTTCACAATTTATTTACATTTAAAATAGAAAAACAAATGACCTGTTCTGTTTGCTTCAGTTTAAGAAGAGCTGCTTTTGCATTGACTTCGGATGACTTGTCTATGCTCATCATCTAGTTTCAAGCCATCAAATAACAAGTGTTTTGTTATTCAATTTTACATTTACTTTAATGAAATTGAAATTAACAAAAACTCACTCTCTTGAAATCTCTTCTTGCTTCCTCAAAATCGCCAGTCTCCATGTATGCCATTCCTCGACAATAAAGCGCCTTCACATGAACAGGATTTGCTTCCAATACCTGCACATACATTATATATATATATATATATATATATATATATATATATATATATATATATATATATATATATATATATATATATATATATATATCACCAATCAAAATTTTTTTTATTTAATAAAAAAGTGTAATTACTTTATTACACGTCTTGACTGACTTTCTACAATCCCCCATCTTCAGGTAGCAAGCAGCCACGTTCATATTCAATAGATTCTTTTCATGCATGTTATGTTATTAGCATTTAGCAACCACTCTTGGTAAATAAAGAAAATTTTTAATTATTTTGTAATAAATAATGAAGGAGGCTCATTCATACGCTTGTATTTGCAAACTCTTTTCCCTCCTCATCATCTTGAGGATTTACATGATTGAATTCACGTAGAACCTGCAACAAAAACCACAAATTAAATCATAATAAATTCACACACACTAATTTCGAATTCTTTAATAATGATGTTGTGTACCTTATCATACTTGGCTTTGGCAAGAGCAAATTTTCCTTCTTTGAATAGTCTGTTACCAAAGATTAAGAAACATCAAACTGGATAAAAAAATTTAAAATGCTCAACACATGTTAATTTAATTTAAAAATACATACCGTGCTTTTCGTGTTCTCAACATCATTCATAATAGCTCTAAAATTCATATCCGTCCAATCCTACATATTATACAGAATACTCCACTAAAATGACTCATCCATAATTCCAGATGCATCAACTCAAATACTAAAAATACAATAAAATGTTTTACCTTTTGTATTTCAAAACCAAGAAGCTCAATCACCCATTCAACATAAGCACTTTTAGGAACATTATTTGGCCTACTCACACAACAAACAAACATCAACATTACTTCATTTCATAATTTTACATATTTGTATGTATTAAGTTATCAGAAATTTACCTTGTGAACTTGTTATAAGCATAATCAAGGGGGCAGGTGTGATACCTCTTCAGGCAACATCAGTCGAACACACATCTCAAAACCTTCAGGTACCTAATCACAATCACAACCTCATATTACAATTTACAACAAAACTAACTAACACCAATCACATTTTTTATTCAAACTCAAAACTTACAAGACCTTCCCCGAAAGAAAACTCCAAAGGTTCCTCATCATTATTAGCTTTTGTATCATAGAAAACTGTCTTTTTCTCATCAAGAAGCATGCCCTTGTAATGGACACGCAGTCTACTGTCTTGAAGAGGGCAAGCCATATGAAATTCACCTAATTGTTTCAAAATTCACATCCAGTGTCGTTACTGGTATAAACCAAGGACTAATATGCAATTATGTGTTACTTGAAGGACTGAAACAGCACCTTTTCCATCTCTTATTGGACGTTTGATTAGACGACGATCTCCTATATGTTGAAAATAAGAGCAAATAAAGATACCTGAGACAAAAAACGGAAACCTTAATAATCAGAATTAACCACACATCCAGACGAAACAACACATAACGAGAAGAAAGAAGAAAGGTTATTGTTTGTTTATTGCTTCCGGACAGGACGAGGACTTTGTTCTTTTTGAAGAACTGGCAATAGATGCACGAATAAGTCCAAATGGGCCATTACTACAACAAATCAGTTTTATTCATGAAGTATTAAGGGATTACTACAAGAGGGGAATGTCGATTTTCAATTTCAAATGAAGTATTAGAAGACATTAGACCAAAAACCTGATAAAAGTCGTCGGAGCCAGAAGCACAGGAACTACCGGAGGTATTATTAACATGAACAACTTACCTGATGGAAGAGACCACGGGATATACAACAAATCAAAAAGCAAGTCTGGAAATGAAACCTATGTAAAATTCACACAGATATACAAGAAAAGAGATGACTGCATCAACATACGCAGTCTGAACACCAATATTTAGGAAGTTCATAAGCTAGGTCAAAAAAGAATTGTCAAAAACACAAATTTTAAGATAGTTTACAGTTGGAGATTGGGATTTATATCAAGTTGTTTCTCCTATAGTAATCTATAATAAATCTATGAAACAATCAATAACCAATTTCACCAAAACAAGCATGAAATCGAACTTTTCTTTTTGACAACATAATAATCGAGATCAGCTTCAAGTGAGAACGATTTTCAACTCCAATCAAGTAGATAACCCCAAAATAAACTCAGATTTAACAAAAACAACTGACCCGCTGTCCCCGGGGATGATGTCTTTTGGAAGCGTTCTTCTTCTTTAAGGCATCGTAATTTAAAATAATAGACGTTAATTGACCTGTAGAGACAATCGGTGGTGGAGAGCGACGGTGGCTTGGACCATGGTGGTGACCGACGTTACGTAGACTAAATTGATCGGAACTAATAGCGGTAAAACTGAACTGTGATGATGCAATCGATTTGCGAGACTTGAAGACCACAACGACTCCAGTCACCGCCACTGGCAACCCACGCCGTCGCACCACCAATACCAACAGCGAAAACTGAGAGAGTTGATAGTAGAAGAGGAAACATCGACAATATCCACGACAACCAAGACTCTTAAATCTGTAAAGCGACAACTGATTGCGACTTTTTAGGGTTTGTTGAAAGACCTGTGGGGGGTGTAGTGGTGGTTCTGGGCTGTTGCGAAGGCAGTGTGGTGGTGGCTCAAGGCTAGTGCTGTGGTGCGATGTTGTAACGGTGGAGTCCGAAAGAAACCACAAATTGTGATGGAAGCTATTGTTGTTGGTGATGTCTGATTCATCAAAAGAAAATCATTCTTCGGTTAATCGTCTATTTTGTGAAAGAATATATTACTATTGAAAATGCATTATGTTTGATTAGGGTTTGCACATAGAAGGAAGTGAAAGTCGATCGGAGAGGAAGGGGTTTGCAGAGAGAAGGAAGGGAGAGAATGAAATCGATCTGGCGGGTGTAGAGAGTAGAGAGGAAGAGGAAGGCGGGTGTTCAAAATTTTTGGGGATTTAGTTTTCCCCCTTACCTATCAAGGAGTCCAGAAACGCGCGTTTAGTAAAAATTATAAAGCGGCATTTGTAGAGGACGCCCATTTTATTATAGGTGCCCTCCGTGTTTTTTATTTTTGTTTATTGGACATTAATTTTAGGGCGCGCAAAAACACGTGTCCTGTATTCTTCAAATTTTGGAAGGTTGACATTATTTTTAGGGGCACACAAAAATGCGTATCGTAAATCAGCGAGTGTCATTATTTGTGCGTCATTAAAGGGTATTTTTCTTGTAGTGATGGGGTCCGGGAACACGTTTAAGTTGGCGACTCGGCGAGTCTCCGCTGTCTGATGAAACCCTAAATTTCAAGGGTTTGCACCCTATTTAAGCCTTCATATCCGCCCTAAGCTCGCCCCCTTCACCCCCCTAGAGCCTTATACTTCATTTAAACTTGTTCCTTGTGAGATTGAAGCTTTTTGGTGTGTTTTCTTGAAGATTTGGAGAGGGAAGGAGAGTAGATCAAGAAGAGAAGAAGGAGGCCAGGCTTATTGGTGTTATATCAGTGATTTCCTTGAGGTATAACTCATTTTCCCTCTGTTTCATGCTCATTGTCCCTTGTAGCTCCATGAAAGTCTTTCTTGAGCCTTTCCCCAAGCTTGTTTGTGTATTAGAGTGGATGATAAGTTGTCTAGCCTCTAGATCTAGGCATGATTGAGCTCCAGGAGCTTGGAAATACTGCCTTTATGGAACCATTGTGCATGAAAGCCCTAGATCTACCCTTTTTGGTGCATTTTGAGCCCTAAAACTCTCATGGATGTTTATTTACATGTAAAGTTGGAAACTTTACGTGTAAACCAAGCCTTAGGAACCCAGATCTATGAATGGCATGGGCTGGATTCAAGCAAAATCGTGTGTATAGTATTTGCATGTGGCAGACTCGGCGAGTCGATCGAGTCACGAATCCCCGGGTTTTCCCCATTTTCGTGTTTGCAGGTTGGAGTAGTGAGTCATAGGGTGTGACTCAGTGGGTTGGAATCCAGACTCACTCATGTAGTAACTCGGCGAGTCAATACCATGACTCGACGAGTTCAAGGCAATCTTCTTGCCTCAAGAACGGACTCGGCAAGTTGTTCATACAACTTGGCGAGTCTAAGCATAGAGTGTTCTTTAGATGAAGACGAACTCGTCGAGTTGTTCATACAACTCGGCGAGTAGGATGAAGAACATTGGATCATCAGCTTAGAAGGAAAACTCATCGAGTCAATGCCAAACTCGACGAGTAGAGATGGGTTAGTGGTCAGACAAAGGGATAGAGACTCGGCGAGTTGACAAGACAACTCGGCGAGTCGGGTCAACTGGAAGTTGACTTTGACTTTGACTCATGGTTTGGTTCAGGGTAAATGGTCAGTTTATCCTGAGGTCGGTTAGCAGTATTTGACTAAGTGTTTGGTGGGAATTGCAGCTGGAAGATTTCCGGAGCAGCAGCAGCAGACAGACCGTTCCCACACAGATCAGCAAATATGAGGTGAGTTACCTTCCAGTAGCGGTGGGTCTATGACCACAATACCGGCCCACCAGTAAGAATTGTATGATAGATGTTTGTCTCTGTGATATTCATCTAGGGTTGCTACTACCTGTGATATGTTATTGTGCTAGTATGATATGATGCTATGTGGTAGTAGTAGGAGGTGAAATAGTCCCCAGTATCCGGTCGAGAGGACCGAAGGGGAGACCAGCACCCAGATATGCTAGTCACTATCCGGTCGAGAGGACCGAAGGGGAGGCCAGCTCCCAGATAGACTAGTCTGTATCCGGTCGAGAGGACCGAAGGGGTAGGTTGGGCACCCAGATATGCCTGACAATATATGTATGTTATGTGATTATATGGTATGTGGTATGATGGGGGAACTCACTAAGCTTCGTGCTTACAGTTTCAGTTTTGGTTTCAGGTACCTCTTCTTCGAAGGGGAAAGAGCTGGCGCGGTAGCGGCCCATCACCCACACGCTCCATATTCCGCACCATGAGATCTTCCTGGGGATTTGTACTCTGACATTATTATGTTTTATGAAAATGTTTTCCCAGAGATGCGATATCTTTATAAAATGTTATGATCGGTAAACGTTTTATTTCGAATGTTTTGCTAAGTATATGTTTTCAATAATGAAATTTTTGGCTCATATTTTTTGGGATGTTACAATGAAATTTTTTATAGAAGGTTATTTAGGATAAATAACCTTAAACAAAGTTATATTATACGTGACAAGGATTTTGTACATATAAAGAACGCTGAATTCCGACTTCGTATGGAGAAGTTATGCTTCTTCGAAGTTCCGCGATTAAACCGGCACAACTATGCTCGTCGTAAAAAGTGAATATTTGATAGGTTGCTTAACCATCTAAGCAATCTAAACAAAAGTCATAGTAATCATAAAATCGAGAATGTGTATATAGAAAACGTCTAAATATGACTTCATGAAAAGAAGTTATGATTTTTCGAAATTGCAGCGCAACAGTCATAGGGGTGCAAACGAGCCGAGCCGAGCCCGAGCCTGGTCAGGCTCGGCTCGGGCTCATTTAAGTTATACATGGCTCGAGCTCGAGCTCGGCTCGATTTGAGCTTTCTTTTACTGAGTTCGGCTTGGGCTCGTAAAGAATTATACAAGCTCGGCTCGGGCTCGGGCTCGGATCGTTTGTCGTTTGATGTGCCTAAATAAGCTTAAGCTTGATTAAAGTTCATTTATTTATACCCGAAATCCATAATTTCCCAAATATGTTTTTATTTTAATATATGAAAATAATAATAAATTATATTATATAAAGGCTCGTTTAGGCTCGCGAGCCTAATCGAGCTTAATGACATAGGCTCGAGCTCGAGCTCGTTTAATAAACGAGCTTAATATTAGGCTCGAGCTCGGCTCGGGATCGTTTAAAACCGGTTTCGAGTCGAGCTTTTAACGAGCCGATCCCGAGTAGCTCGACTCGTTTACACCCCTAAGAGTACATGCAAAAAAATCGAAATTCAAATCGGTTGATTGTTATCCGAAACAATCTAAACAAGAATTAAAGATATTGTGAATATGAACCTGTCAATATAAAGACAGTTGAGCACGGAGTTCGTATGAAGGAGTTATGAATTTTGTACGGACTTTAACAATCTAAATCGGTCTAAATATGAATTTTTGTTAGAGCAAGAATTAGATATTGAAACCTTAATGAAAATTGTAGAGATCGTTAAGAAGATTTTGGTGATATAAAGAACGTTCAAAACGGAGCTCGTATGTAAAAGTTATGATCATCCAAAGATCTGCGAGAAACTGCCTAGGTAACGTAAGATTTACGTTTTTCATAAAACATGATTTTGTTTTGTTTGTTTAGTTAAAATATTTTAACTTAATCTTTTGAAAACCATTCAAACTTAAGTTTATTTTATAAACTTTTATAAAACTTATTCTTTGTTAACTTTTAACAATTTTTGTGATTCCAATTTTATTAAAGAAAATATACAAAAATAAAACAACCATGTAGTCATACAAGCACAATAATAATTCAATTAATGACACCACCAGCCTTGATCTTATACATCTCATCTATGATTCATCATAGAAAATATAAATCGTACTAAGGATAAAATATACTTCAAAGCTCCCATTCAAAAAACCACCATTACTTGATGTCAAAAAGAGCAACATGTGACTCCAAACTCCTAGATCCTATGGTCTTCATTCTTTAATAAATTACAATTTTATATATTAATACAATTTTCCTAACTAAACTATTACAATTTAAAATAAAATTACATATTACAACAAAAAAAAAATTATATAAAGGCCACAAACACCGAAAGCACAACCAAACATCCAACACATAGATCAAGTCGAGGCACAATGTATTGGGGTCCATACCACTCAAAACAAACAATTATTTGAACTTGGATTGAAACTTTTAGATTAAACGAATAATCATAAAGTTGAAAGTAAGTCCACATGCTATGGTTTCTATGATCTCACATGTGAAGGATCATCCAAACAACACTGTCACGATTTTGTTATTAATTAATAATTAGATATAAACAATTAAAATAACTTTGTTACATAACATATGTATGACTAAGATGTATGTATGACTAAGACGTATGTATGATTAAGATGTATCATTATATTGTCCTTGCTAATATGTGATAAGAGAGAGAGGTTAGATTTATGTATAGGATTAGTGTGATGTTTAAGTAGTAAGTCCTTGAACGGGTTCTTCATAATAAAGAGAGCTGTTATTTTAATCTGTGAAATTCGCCTCTCATAAATCCATTTATGCTTACGTGTCCATTAATAAGCTCACAACAAATTTGCCAACTCAGCACTAAACCTACTAATGATCAAAAGATGTTATTTTAATAAATAGATAATTTGGATGGCCATATGTGTACAAATCATATAGTTTGGAGGTATTTTTTCGTACAACTCAAATTTGAATAGTGTTTTTCATCTGTTTTTTAAACTTGGATACTGTTTTAAGTCATTTTCCCATTCTATAACTATAATGTGTTAAAAGCTTCTATATAAGAAAAATAAAGAAAATGATATAAAAGATATAAACACAAGCCTAATCCATTCATTTACACATTTCATCGATATTAACCAATCATAATTCTCAAATATACATTTTTGTTGGACCCATCACAATTTTCATCTTCATTTCTTCTTTCTAAAAATATATGTGACAAAATTATAAGTTTTAAATGAATAGAACCCAACAATAAAAACCAAATCAATGGCCAACGCACCGGTCAAAATTGCAACCATCTCCACAGTCGCTACCTTCACTACCGTCGGTCAGCATCGGACCCAAGAACAAGTCATTAGGATTAGGGTTTGGCGGACCAAAAAGAAACTCCACACAGAACTCAGGACCTGCAATCGATTTGCCTTTGCTTCCAACTTTATCCAATTCCGTTATCGAAAACTGAAGAAAACAAATCCAGAAGCTTAAAATTAGAAACTCTATATATTTGAATGATTAAATCTAAGTAAACGAGATCAATTGAAGTACATGTATCGAGTTGTCTTCGATAAAAGCAGTATTGAAGCAAGCATAGAAGAGACGACCTCCAATGTTCTTCTCGTAGAATGTCACACACACATCTCCATTAACCTTTCCAACCATTTTACAACACCATTGATTTAGTAAAAGTATAATTAAAAAAAAAAATTGATAAAAGTGACCAAGGAATTATTCCATTTATCTACTTTTAATCATTAAACTTATCTATCCACTTCTAGGTAATAATTCATTTGTTCACTTTTAGTCATTAAACTTATCTCTCCACTTTTAGGTAATAAACTATCCAAAAATAATGGACAAATATAAGATTTGGAAAGATCATTATCTCGATGTGGAAAAAAAATTAGTTGATGCTCCAAAAGTAGACGATTTTTTGAAAGTCCGTTACCTAAAATTGGATGAAAAAGTTCAGGGACTAAAAATGGACAAATGAAATAGTATGTTGGTCGTTTTTAACTTTTCCCAAAAAAAAACCTCGATTTCAGGGAATCTACAATCATACCTGAATAGTTTTCCCAAAGTAGCAATCGAGGGAACTCTGTGTCTCCTCTTCGTCTTCCTCGATGAAGGAGAAAGAGTGTCGACCACCGTTTCTAATTTTTCTACAGAAATTCCGGCAAGTGTCTGTGGAAGGACGATACCGCTGTCCAGAAACCTCTTGCATTTGCGACACAACGAAGAAGACTGTTTCTATGTTTCTGGTGTCGAACAGTCGGATCTGTCGAAACTCTCTGCTACTTGGTTCCGGAATGTTGACGTCTGGTGGACAGCCGCCGGGAAACGAAAGAGATTTCTGCCAGTAATTAACGTAACGCCGTTGGCTTGGTATTGTCACCTGCACATCATTTTCATATCCGCTCCTTCAACTTTCAATTTATACAATTTTGTCCTTCCATTTTCTTTTTCACTTTATTATTCTTAGTATAATATAATGTTATTCTTTTTTTACTTGTAAACTGGAAAGTGTGATGGTATGTTAATTATCAACTTGATATTAGTAGTTTATGATATATATTAAATTGAAGGCTTAATATCATAAAAAGGTAAACGACTTCATAGTTTATATATTGTTATTTTTCTTGATTAAACGTTAACTTTTTTCTTCGAAAAAGATCTTTTATTTTTTTCTGTATTTTTCTTAATTTGGACCTTTTAACATGTTTACCGATAATTTTCCGATTTTAGACTATTATTTTCTGAAAAAAATGTCTGTAACCGGGAGAATACCGGTAAACATGCTAAAAGAGCCAACTAAAAAATAACATTACAAGGTCTTTTTCGTGGAAAAAAAATAAAGTTGAGGTTAATTCCGAAAAAAAAAAATATACAAGTTCTTTGTTAACCCTAAATTTAATTTTTATATTTGAAGTTACTTAAAACTTACTCCAAGGTTATTTGTGGTCCTTTTATCCGCATAAACCTGAAGAGCTTCCTCTGCTAACAAGCCGCTGTAAACCAAGTACGAAGATACCATCAACCCCGTCCGACCTTTGCCTGCCTATTGAATTTTCAAAAATACTCAACTTTTTATATCAAATATATTCACATAAACCTTAGGGGAAAAAAAATCCAAAAAAGGAAATATTTGTAAATTTGCAATTTTACCATGCAATGAATGACAGCTATATTTTTTGGGTCGCTTGAAAGCCAGGAATGAACACTTTGACAAAACTCCTTGATCATAGGGAGCGATGGGACGTGATTATCATCGAATGGGAATCTTTCCACACGATCATTAAAATGGGATGGATCATAATCTTGCTCTATACATAAGTTATACACCTACAAGGTTGAGAAAACCATTATTATATTCACATATAGTAACAAAAAAAAAAAAAAAAAAAAAAACGAGAATGGTATAGTATTTAGTGATTTACCTTGTAGTGTCCAGGATGTCGCATTTCCAAAACCTCTTTGACTTGCCACATAGGATTTCGATAAATGGCTCTCATTCTTTCGGCAGGAAACGACATTGCTAATATACGATCTGTGATGTAAGACATATCAAGATCATATCCACCAACAAGCATTCGCCTTCTCTTTTGAGACACCAATCTACGAACAAACATATGTGTCGACATATAATTCATTAGCTGATATTGAGCTGCAAGAGCCTTCTCATCTTTAGTGTTTCCTGGCACCAGTGTAGTAGAATTCAACCCCATTTTTGTTCTTTGGTATACAACACTTTACTTCCTAGGCAACTGTAGAAGTGTTTGGTAGAAGTAGTAGTAAGCTTTTAAAAGGTGTGAAATCATATAAATACTAAAAGACAAGAGCTCTTAAAATCCACTTGAAGTAACTTTTGGATTGAGAGTTTTCGGTTTAATGTAAAAGTTTTAGGCTAGTACTTTCAAACCAAGCTTTTTCTTTAATTCAAGTTATTTCTTAAAAAGCTCATAAAAGCTCATTGTCGAACATATTCTAATTGTGTTTATATGATACTAATATATTGTGTTCAAATGGTTTAGTATTTTTGTATGAAAAAAAAAGTATTGATTAGATAGCTCGAGAAACTTAAACTATGTTTAAATAAGCGATTTAAGTAAGATACTCTTAGAGAGCACAATGACTAGGATTCTAGGAATTATGCATGCATGAAAAATATGGGAGATATGAATTACAAAAAAGCAAGTTCTATACATATATAAAAAAAAAAAAATGAAATGGCTAAAAGATTATAAGCCATAAGTTATTTAGGAGGGGCAATTCGAAAAATGTAAATTGCTATTTTATGATACGTTTTCATACATTTTAGGAGAAAGTTTAACATAGACTACAAAATAATTTGGTATCATTCTCATCTTTCCTCGTTATCAAAATTGCCAAGTATAATTTAAACATGAAAAAAATCATGGTTTCCAAAGCCATAATCACAGTTACCTTAATAGATTTTTATATGAAAATTTATCAATTTACAATGCGATTTCATTTCTATATTCCTTAAACAAATTACTCTAGAAACATTAATAAAGTTGTTGGAATAGAACTAATCTACAAATTTGTGGTAGAATTATTTATCAAATGATGATAAAACAATCGGCAATGTACATGAAATCAAACGCAAATCAAGAAACAAAAATGAAAGGGGTGGAGAAGGAATCAATTTATATGGTGAAAAGAGTTGTGAGACTTGCCTTTGGATCCTTGGAGATTCAGAATTGTAAAACCCTAAACGATCGGTCGAATTGGTCCAAAAATCGTCATAAGATTCCTGTACGATTCTTGGACCAGTTGAAGAGGCATTTCCTAGGGCAAAATTATTGATTTTAAGGAGGCAAGAAGGAGAAAAAGAAGGTTGCCATGTCTAAATTAAGAAACAAACAAACACAATGCAAAATCTGTTGTTTATGTGAGAAATGGGAGCGAATTTTTGGCCACAATTTCATAGGCACGCCCAACGGAAGTATAGGAGAGATGCCATTGTTTAGTTTGTGTTTGTGTGAGAGAGAAATGCGGGCGAGTTTATAAGTCCAAATCTTTCTTTTTCTTGTAAAAGAAATGGGAGTTGATTCTACCATATCTAATAATTTTTTTCTACACACAATAATTTATATTTTATAGAGCTGTATAATATGATATATTAATATAAAAATTGTTGTGCATGGAAAAAATTTATTTGTCTACGAATCAGCTTCAAAAGGAAAATGATTAATATAATATTATCTAAGGATTAACAAAAACAGAACCGTAAACCAAAAAACCCATAAAAAAACTGAAAACGAAAAACCGAAACCAAACATAAAACCAATGGTTTGGTTTCCACTTTTTCAAAAACCAAAACTTTCGGTTCGGTTTGGTTTGGTTTCGGTTTTAGGAATTCAAAAACGGAAAAATAACCGAATCGCACCGTTTGTGAGAACACATCGTGTTTCAAGTTTTTGGGAGTATTTAAGTTAAGCATTGATTGTATTAGTAGCAAAAGATGAAACATAAAACTATTGAACTAGGAAATTGGAAAGGAAAAAATTGAATGGTTATATTTTATTATCACTAAGATTTGTTAATTTTTTCTAAAATAGGAGCAAACACAAAAAATTTGTCTATGGTTGGGTGGGAATGTCAATGGGTGGGTGGGAAGTACAACAAATGAAAGAATATATATATATATATATATATATATATATATATATATATATATATATATATATATATATATATATATATATATATATATATAGGAAAAAGTGAATATATCCTTAAGGGTATAAAATCTTAGGTATCCAAACATACCATAATACGTCGTTTTGTTTGATATATTTATTATAATGTTCTTAAACTTCAACCCCTAACTTGATTTAATTTCAAGATTTTCGAAATTTCACTATTATCTTTCTCTTATATCACATGTTTTTACCGAACACCTATTAGCCTATATATATAATAGTTGAAAATGAAAATTATGTAAGAGGAAGATAAATGTGTAATTTATAAAAATAATGAAAGTAAATCAATTTAGAAGCTCAATTATAAGAACATTGGACAATTATAATGTATTATACGATACAAAACGATGTATTATGGTGTGTTTGGATTAATTAATTAATTAATATATATATATATATATATATATATATATATATATATATATATATATATATATAATTGTTGAATTGATAATATATAAATTAATGTTAACTTACACTTATTATTTGTTGGATTAATTTATCAACTTTAATTAGTTGTTGTTTGAAAAAGATAGCACATTTCTATATATATTTTTTCAATTTGTAGGTTTAGGTTCTATGGAAAACAAAAGACCCTAAAAATCATAAAAATACATAAAAAAAAATACTTAGAGATCACAAGACTTTTTTTTGAATTTTTTTTATAAAAAATCGCAGCTTTTTATAAAAATTCGCTGAAATATATATATATATATATATATATATATATATATATATATATATATATATATATATATATATATATATATATATTGAAATTCTTTTTCAGCGATTTTCTTTAAAAAGCTGCGATTTTTTCTTAAAAAATGTCAAAAAAAAGTTTTGTGATCTCTAGGTATTTTTTTTATGCATTTTTAGGGTTTTTTTAAAGTTTTTTTGTTTTCCAAATAACCTTTCCCTCAATTTGTAAAAGTTAAAAATATATAAGAAATTAAAAATTAAGGCATACTTTCGTATATATCTTTGCTAAACATTTAAATATCATATTTCTCCGGCCCAAAACTTAATAACGTATTTTCCCTTGTTAATGTTTTTTAATATCATATATACAAAATCTTTTTTTTTTTGATAATTTTTATTGATTTATAATCTTTTTTATCATTTTAAAATCATTAAAATTAAAAACAAAAACCAAATGGACAATATTTCCCTTCCTTTACAAATCACAGGTTAATTTTAATTTGGACGAGGTTTTACTCTCGTCTTCATCCTCAAGTCGTCGCCAGCTTCCTCGCGATCACATTCTATCTCCTCACTGTCGACGTCTCGCCGACTTCTTTTTTTGCTAACACACTTCTTGGTTGCGTCAAGTATATGTTGATTAAAAGGGATGTATTTATCAGTTGCAAGAAACAAACAACTATGGAATCATTCGCTGCTTGCATAGTTTCACGTTCTAGAAATTGTTATCGTCTTTGTCACATTCTAATTATCTCCACGGCATCATCCAAGTTCAACTTCATTAAATCATCTTTGAATCGAAGTCGATCAATCAGGGAAAAACGTCGATCGTCCACGGAAGGAATATCGAATCAAGAAAAGTCAAGCATCGATATAGAATTACAAACCAAATTACTCCTTTGGACCTTCATAGTGATGAGCATGATCATAAAGGTGGTATGAGAACCATGCCATTCATTATAGGTATGTCAAAATCGAAAAAAATTTCCATTGTTATCCGACCTCTGTAATCGAATTTATGGAAAAAAAATCGATCCACCATTTTTTTAGTTCAAGTATGAATGAATCTCGATCATATCAACTAAGGTTTTGATTTTGGTTTTGGATCAGTGAATGAAGCGTTTGAGAGAGAGTAGCGAGCTACAGATTGATGCCAAACATGATATTCTTTCTGATGGAAGTTTATCACATGGAAGTTGTAACTATACTCTCCGTCTGGTTAGCACTTTCAAATGGACTCTCCCTTTTTAGTGCTTTCATCGCTAATTCCTACTTAGGTTGTTTTGGGTCATTGCTCTCGGGTCTCTCTCCACCATTCTCGTAAGTCTTCCACCTCCCATATTGATTTTTATTTTGGGGTTGTATTTAATCTTCTTGTTGCTACATGGGATGATTTTTCTATGGATGACCTCCATGTTCCCATAGTTACGACCTTCCGATGAACTCAACACCATTTGCAGCCTTGCAACACCAACCCAACTCGCTTTACTCTTTTCGTCTTTTGGTTTACTCTCGATCGGATGTGGTTGTATCCGACCATGTTCCATGATCGCCTTTGGTGCAGACCAAATCAAAAATAATCCAACCCTAAACAACCAGAGACTCATTGACAACTACTTTAATTGGTATTATGCTTCTGGATAGGGAAGAAGCCAAGTTGATGTGATTAGGGAAGTAACATGGCGATCATAATTAACTTCAAACACGTGATATGTTGCATTACAATTTAAAGCTATGGGAAATATTGTCTATTTGGCTTTGTTTTTAGTTTTAATGATTTTAAAATGGTAAAAGGATTATAAATCAATAAAAATTATCAAAAAATAGATTTTGGTATATATGATATTAAAAAAATATTAAGAAAGGTAATGCAACATCCCAAACATACTGATAAAAAATTTTCATTTTTAAAATCATTAAAACCATACATCATGTGTCTCAAAACCATCATAACACAAATGTATCAAAATCATCAGGGTAAAATTTCTTGGTTGTCACATCTTTTCTTTCTCTTCCAAAAACAACAAAAAAGTGACAACAAATGGAGTAGTTACGGATTATTGCAATAAAATATGTAAGTATTGTAATTGAACCTCAAACAATGATTTATGTATTTCATTTGTCATCATTGATTTTGTTAACATATAAAAAAGTTGTTTGATGTATTTTTTGTTTAATTATAAAATCGATATTGTGTGTGTCTATATATATATATTAAAGTGATAAAGTTAATGTATATGATGGATTAAGTATAGATGACTACTCTTTTTAGTTAACTAATTGTCGGATTATAATAATCACAAAACTTATACTGGTAAAATAATAATATATTTGATTAGATTGCAATATCTCAAGCTCTAAATGTCAATACACTTAAAGTGATTTTCAATGGGTTAAATTCATTTAATCTAATTTTTTATTTAAATTTTTTTGTTTTCATAATCAGATTGTTTATTTATTTATTTATTTATTTTTAGTTAAAATTTTCATATATAATCAATAGTTTTTTTTTTTTTTTTCACAATAAGTTTTTTTTGTTTTTATTATAAGATTCATGTAACACATGGTTCCTGGTATGTATCTAACTTATAAATTATTCATTTTTATAGAGCAACTCGGCAAGTTAGAGGCCCCAGACTCGTCGAGAAGAGATGTTTTGGACTGCACGTGTTGGCGATCAACTCAACGAGTTGGGAGGTATCAACTCGACGAGTTGGCTGGGTAAAATGAAACCCTGATTTCATGGTTTTGCACCCTATTTAAACACCTTAAACTTTTGATGTTGGCCTCATTTCCCAACCTCTACTGTCCTAATCCTAAATCTCGAATCCCTAAGGCATTTGTGAGAGTCTGTGATCCATTTTGGGTGTTTTTGGTGTGTGTTGAAGCCATTGGAAGAAGGAAAAGCTTGAAGACACAAGAAGGGGCTTATAGATCCAGAATCATTTCCTTATCCACGACACTTTTCTAGTATAAAGCTTGAACCTTTCCTTCTTGAACCTTGCCTTGTAGTTGAGTAGATCTCCTTCTAGCGTTATTTTGCTTGGTTTTAGCCCAAATATCATGGTCCTTGGGAGTTGGACCTCCCAAATGGGTTAACACTTCAGATCTAGGGTCTTGAGGGGTTTTTATGGCATAAAGGTTCTAACTTTATGGCCATGGAAGTCCCCTGCAACCTTTAGACCATCATTTTGGCCTTTTGGAGCTTCTAATGGCCATACATGTAGAGAAAGCTAGAACTTTACATGATCTTTCTGTCCCTAGAGTCCAGATCTATGACCTCACGGTTTATCTTGAAGTTTTGGTGGTTTTTTTATGAAGACTTTGGCTTTTGTGGGTTAGGTTTGGGCTTAATCTCTTTAGGAAGGGTCTTAATGGGTAAAGTTGGAAACTTTACCCTTTTAGAGGCATTTCCGGTTCAGATCTGGAGTATGGGGGTTTAGATTTGAAGAATACGGGATTAATGCATTAAGAAGGGACTAACAAACTAAAGAACTCGATGAGTTCATGGAGAGACTCGACGAGTTGAACTAAAATGTCCCGATTCTATTGAAAAAGAAAAAGTTGGCGAGTTCATGGAGGGACTCGACGAGTTGATCTGAAATGTACCGATTTTGTTAAAAAGGAAGAACTCGACGAGTTGGAGGAAAACTCGATGAGTTGGATCGCGATTTCACGATTCGATTTATGGGAACTCGGCAAGTTGAAGGGAAAACTCGACGAGTTGAGTCAACCGTGAGAGTTGACTTTGACTTGGACCAAAGTTGACCCTTAAGGGGTTATGAGTATGAAATGGGTACTTAAGGAAATCTTTTATTATGTAGGGGATTGAATTGGGGGTATATTCGGAGTCGGGGACTGTTCAGCTACTTCTAGTTTTCGAGATGAGTTACATTCCCAGTATAAGTGGATCGAAGGCACCAATAGAGATGATTGTCTTTGTGATGCTTTTCTGTTATGCCACTATCTGTTGAGGTTTATATGCTTGTATGTTATGTTATTATGTGATAGTGATAGGGGGCGGTGAAGCAGACCCCATACCCATTCGAAAGAGACCGACGGGGTAGGTCGGCACCTAAATATGCTAGGAAGTATGTGATTTATATGCTTATATGCTAGGTTATTATGTGCCAGTGGTATGGGTGAAATAGACCCTGTAATCGGTTGAAAGAGACCGAAGGGGTAGGCCAGCACCCTAATATGCTTGGCAGTTACCAGTTGAAAGAGACCGAAGGGGTAGGCCAGCACCCTGATATGCTAGGCAGTTACCGGTTGAAAGAAACCGAAGGGGTAGGCCAACACCCTGATATGTTAGGCAGTTACTAGTTAAAAGATACCGAAGGGTAGACCAGCACTCATATATGCTAGGCAGTGTGTTTATTGTATGGTATGTGGTATGATGGGGGAACTCGCTAAGCTTCGTGCTTACGATTTTCAGTTTTGGCGTTAGGCATTTCTACTTCTAAAGGAAAAGAGCCGGCATGATCGCAACGCATCACACTATAATTTTCCGTATATGAGATCTTTGAGATTTGTACTCTGATGATGTTTTCTTATGACATGTTTTGGTTATTGAGATATTGATTTTGATTATGATATGGGATGACACTATTGATGTTTTTAGATTACTGGTTTTTATAATTACAAAATTAAAAATGAAATTTTTGGTCATGAATTTTGAGATGTTACAATTTATTTAATCTAATTTTTACTTAAAGTAATTAATATTTCGATAACTAATTTATAAATAATATAATTACTCTATTATGGTTGTGTTATTGAATGATACCTATCATATTTTATAAACAAATGGTTGTATTACTGAATAGATTAGTATAATATATAAGCACCCATTTTTGTGATTATCTCCAAGTAAAAAGGTAAAATGAATTTACTAACATTCAACCAAAACAATATTTAGAATATCTTAATAAAAAAAAATATTTTTGATATCGCATTAAGCAAATAAAAATTAAGACTACCTCTAAGCATTTATGAATCATATAATTTTGAACAGTGAATATATCATTATGGATCATAAAGTATCTACAACAAATTTTTGGATTTAGCTATCTCTTTTACTAATCTAAGAGAGTGTATGGATATGCCAACTAATATTTAAAAATCAATTAGATGGAGAAAATATCTTGATGTTTTTGAAACACAAGTTCATATAAGTTGAAATAATGTTTATATGTCTACTTAATGGGAAATGGTGTTGTTAGAGTAAAAAAAAAAGATTTGTACATTGGAAAAGTCAAAAGGATATGGAAATTTGACAGAAGGAGAATTTGTACATTAAAATATTTTTTGGAAATAGTTGGGTTTATTATGGTAAAAAAATATATATAAATATGGTCACTAATGTCTTAAATCATAAAACGTTTTTATTGTATGTTATAAACTGAATTAGGACTTTTTTTTTTAAATATATAAAATATATTTAATAACTAATATCAACTTATAGAAAAAAAATTATGTATTATGATGTATTTGTTTTATTTTTTTAATATAGAAAAAAAATATTTCTAATAATCATATAAACATTTTTAAATTTTACATATAAAGTCATAAATATACATCATTTGACATATAAATTCATAAATTTATGATATACCGTGAATAGTTTCATATATATACATCAATTTTACATATAAATTCATACATGATCAAGATAGCCACAGTCAATAGTTTCTTTTAATTTTACATATACATTCAAAAGTTTCCATTAATTTTACATATACATTCAAAATACAACGATTAAGATATCCACATGCATACAATACATATTTAAAAGTGATAGAAATCAAACTAACTTGTTGTTCCCGGAAAAACGAAGCTACAATCGCTGGTGATGTGTGCCCTTACATTGGGAACTTAAAAACAGAAATAATAATAATAATAATGATAATCATTCAGTCGTAGTCATAGTTGTAATTGGAATTGGAGGTGGTGATGTGTGTTCACAAAAGAAGAGAAAGAGAAATGGGTAGAGAAAACGAACCTCGGCGGAGATATCAAGTCGTAATCGAAGGTGAAAGTCGGCAATGTAGGTGGCAGTCGGATTTGGAGGTTATACTGGATGTGGGAGTCGACTTTGGAGGTCAATCGGCGGTGGAGAGCAGTGGCGTTAGTCGTGATGTCGCAAATCGTCTCCAGAGAGACCGTTTAGTGGAGATAAATTCGCAATTGGAGTTACCGAACAAACGGTGTCTAGGAAGAGGAAGATGAACAAAAGGGACTACCCTTTAGCGGCGACCCTAATAGGGGTGACAAAGAAGCTATTAGTAGCGACATTCTGGAGGGAACTCAACACGTCCTTTCTGGGGATTACCGACAGTTGGATCAGGTGAGAATCGTAGGGCAAAGATTTGATCCAATGTTGGTCAACGGATCGACACTAATAGCGGCGACGTTAAAAGTGTTGTATCTATTGCCATTGCCTTCCACATGAACAAACCCTATCCGTTGGATCATGTTCTGAACCAAGGGTCAAGATTGAAAGTAGCAGCGTGTCTCCGACGGATCTCCGGTGCATATCTTTAGC